AAAATATATATTACACACATTCCCCCTTTCGTCACCGACCGTCAATCTCCGTCAATGACTTTTTACCTGTATTCCTTCAGCAGTACTAACGTACCGCAATATCTTACCCATAACTGAGCACCTTCACAAGTAATTCAAGCTTTTTCGGCCATAAACACACATGATCTGTCATGATAATCTATGCGTTTTGCAAAAAGGTTTTTTATTGACTGATACATTTAGAAGACTTCGGATCGGGTTTAGCCATATTTCGGTTGTCAAAGACCCAAGGGTCGCATCCAGTCTTTCGGATCCCGTGGACATACTATGCAATATCCGTATCAAATTCGTTCATTTGCCTGTTTGACGGGACTCAAGTCATTCATGTATAACACAAGGGCAAACTAAACAAATGGCGGCCAAGGCGACGCCGCTTCCCTCCTGCGTGCGATTCTGGGTATGCGGCTATTTCCGAAGATCTCGGTACAACTGGATTTAACGCTGGGGAAAGGGGCCCATCTCAAAAACTAAATACTGAAGGTTGCAATGAAAACGGCACAGATACTAGAGACAGCATGGCCTATCGCCTTGGTGGAGCCTTAAAAAGCCTGCTTACAATGTAGTTCAATATGCTGCTATATATGTCGAAGCAGCAGGAGCAATGGCAGCAGTACGACTAACCTAGATAGAACTATGCAGCAGCCCAGATAGGTCCTGCCGGCGACTACTGCAGGCTCATAGCCACGTGTCCTCCCTCCCGCCCCTTAGCGATGACTACTATTTATCTGCTCCATTTTGCACTGCTCAGTTTCGTGCTGGCAGCTGCAGTGGCAGGTGGTTGGGCCACCAGCAGTCGCAGCGAACAGTGGTACTTCCGGGTGTGCGCGCGCGCTCTCGCCGCCGCGGCAGCGGCTGCTGTAATACACTGCCCTTTGCTGGCTACTGGCAACCGTGGTATCATCACGCAGTCTCTTCTGTGTTTCTGATCTCTAAGCTCAGCATGAGAAGACTGGGGAAGCACCAGATTGAATGGGGAGATTTCGCGAGCGAACGGCCGATCGATCGGAAGAGAATTCAAGCTCTACAGATCACTCGTTTTTTACGCCCCCTAAACGTTTCCTAATATTTTTCCCCAGTGTTCCGGCGAACCAGCCTCGTTACATCGTATCTTGTATACTGTAGTGGTAGGGAAGCAAGTAGGCAGACAGGTAAGCAAGCGAGGGAGCGGAGTTACCGCGAATACGTCCGAGTGAACGTAGAACGCCGGAAGAGAAGGACACCTGGCGGAGATGAATATAGATAACGATGTTGAACGCTACACTGCGCTATGTACGTCCGCCCAACGTGGGTTGGCAAATAGCAGATTAGTTCTGCTAGTTCAATTGCAGATGCGTCTATCTTGAATATCGGCCAGATTTACATGTATACTTCTTCTGCATGAGAATGAATCAAACCACGAATTACGTACATCTATTCGAACGTACATACACATACACTCGCGTGGGTGTGTGTTTGTATAAGGCCTAAGCACGAGTTCTATATACATATGTGGTTGTTCCAATCGAGTCTCTCAAAGGGAACAGAAGCCGAGCCCGAATAACCTAGGCGAAAAGAAGAGTAAAAAGAACGCGCGGACAATTAAAACGAAATAGCTACATGAAGTGTTCCGTGAAAAAAGGCGAAGTTCACTTGGGTTTTAATCGCGAAAATAGGTTTTTTTATGATAAAGAATAAATAATAGAGCGAATTCATTTTCCTCCCTCTAGGGATACAAGTACATCTAAGCTAAGTTTTGAGGCTACGTTTAGGAAACGCATACCTACCTTGGCCTGTAGCCACCTTTGTACTGCTTATGCTGCGAATTTTACGACTCGTGTTGTCAGGTCGTCGAGTCCATCAAGCAGGTTCACATATCTAACTCACAATTGAAAAAAGCGGCCATTTGGTGCGGAATCATTTCGATCGTAACCCATAATCTTACTCTATGTACTTTTCAGAGGATGAAAAACCAACATATGTATACTTTGTAAGGAAAAGTCGATGCTCGGCCGACCGGCCATGTAAACCCAGGTTTTATAGAGAAACGAAATGAAAATGACAACATTAAAGAGAAGTTTTACGTCATTGCATAGGTAACCAGAATTCGATTCGAATATGTCGTAATATAGTGTGTATTATGATATTTGTCGAAGACTTAGTCTAATAAGCGAAAATCAGGTCGTGACTCCTGAGAAGAGTTAATAAGACAAACAGACGCCGATCGGGGGCAAATGATACAAGCTGTCCTTGTCTTGCAGTCTTTGTATTGGGTAGTGTTTGCAGGCTACTTCGTATTATAGTATTATTCCAAGAGAAAATATTGTCCCTGCAATAGAAAGTGAAGGAATAGCGTGTTCGGAACGAAGACACGTTATCGACCATGTTGACGAAGTCACTAAGCTTTTTCTCCATATGAGTAGCAGTGATGTTATCGGTATTTAATCGTATTAAATCTGTTAATCTTTAGCATTTGTCTATCGGTGCGATGAGCTGAAGGGTATTGTCTGAAGCTCCGTTCTCTCGAGTAGAAGAAAGCCTAAACACGGGTTTTCTCTAGCGCACCGGCAAAATCGCATTGAATTATAGTCACAGAGCACTGTCAGCCGGAAGTAAAGCCATCTGCCCACAGAATTACCAAAACATATTCGTACACATTAAATGTTACATTATAGTCACATATGTCGTACCGATAGCAACTTTTTGCCTGGGTCGCTTAGGTAAAGGTCGTGGTCTAGAGGTACCGTGCGCTAATACACAAATGCGAAAGGCTGCTCGACGGTGCACATATGCGCAGGGTACATTACGGAACGAAACAGGTCCGGTCGGTAGCAGAGGCTTTCAATACAAAACATACACAGAAGGCTACTAGCCATCGAGCAAGGACAGGTAAAGGCTGTCGTTGCAATCGCCATAGCAGGTTTTGCCTTACAGGGGATTTCAGTGTTGCTGCTGGTCACCTCTTAAATAGAAAACATTTGAGGCTCCGGCAGGGATAAAAAAGGTATGGAATCCATCAGTCCCTGCTGTTCACCTGCCATAGAATATGTACACCGGCGACCAGTTCTGAGGTAACATACTGCTATTAGTTTATGCGTATTAGTCTGTTGGTAATGAGCCGCCTCAATGAACATCTCCCTTCTAAATAAGATCAGGAAAAAGAAGACATCACATGACGACAGACGGTGCGCTGGCATTGCCGCAACAGTGCTTGCACCTGACCGTGTTAGATGAAAATAGCAAAGATTAGTGAAGGTGGCTTAGTAATGGCTTAGATTAAGAGAATTAGAGTGAGAGACAAAGAGATACGTTGAAACTAAAATGGGACAAGTCATTAAGGATGATGATAACGACGACGACAATAATAATATCATTATCATCATCAATATTGTGGTGCAATATCATCGATGGCACGGTAGCTGCGAGAGCAACAAAGGCGTCGTTGCTTTATATCCTGTTAAGGCCAGCTTCTTAACTTTTGGCCTAGCTAGCTGGCAGCAACTATAATGATAGTCGTTTGCGTATGCGCGCGAGTACATACCTAGACTGCTACGTAGACGATCAGCTAGCTAGTGAGACAGCGAACGAACCACGAGGGTGAGTAAGTACACAAGCAGACAAAGAGGCACACGTCGTGAGTATGCGAAAAGAGCAGCCCGATATTGTTCGTCCATTACCACTGACGTCACGAATTTTCGAGCGCCGGAAAGTGTGCGACCGCAGTTTCCAGAACCGCCATCGCCATAACGATTATTGACGGTGACATCGACCAACCAAAAATTCGAGAACACACACAGAGGCCAGCACGACTGTCGCTGCTACGCCGAAAACTGCGATTTCGCAACGTACTACAATTGATTATATATACATCTTGTGTCTCTACATATATTTAACAGCAGTCTGTTATTGTAGTACCTACATGTAGACAGAGGATGAGATCAGGTGAAACAGACAGGAGATCGTATGCTCAATTTCGAAAAAGATTTTCATGAAGAGTAGAATAGGAGTCTATGCTGAACACAGGCCGAAGCAATATAGCAGGCCAGGCATACCGCCGCCGTCTATAGGGTACTGCGAACTGCACCATGGGAACTATCGAACTTCTAAGTACACTTCCGTCGATGCTCTATCTGCTAATCCCTGTGTTCAAACACCATCCCGGTGCACCATCTTTGATTGGCCACTGTTCATACCTAGCAAGCTGACTTACCCTATCAGTAGCGTGATCTGCTTTATTTATTATCTATAAGGCTGGGAACGCTGGCAAGAACCCTTAATTAGCGCAGTCCGAATTTGTGACGACACCGACGCCCTCTCAGTATAATGGCGCTTTCGTCAACAGCGTGTCTCACGCGTTCAGACACGAATGCACGGAAAATTACACGCTCGTCATGCAAATGCACGCAGATAGAGAGTGAAGCATTTATAAATACACGCATATAAACGCCGAAGTTACTTCACAGTGTCATTCACCGCGATGACGCTAGTAGTACTATGACTTTTACTGCTGTAGCTGATGGTTATTAGATTATTATTATTATCTTGTACCAGAACGCGGTGGTGAAGAGCCCCCAAACGTTGATGCTAAGATATGCACTACCGAAGGTCGAATGTCCGATTGCTGAGTAATTTTTTTTTCGGTATAGCAGTGGAAGTAAGCAGAATGATAATTACAAGACGATATTGTCTATATAGTATAGTCTTAAATTTTCCTTATTCTGTTCTACGGCAGATCCAAAATGTTGGTACACTATTGTATGACAATGTAAGCATGCATCTATGCAGGTTTACCCAGCTGAAAGTGGCATGGATGGCAGCATTTGCAGTTCCTTGGCCGCTGATGTTAAGTTGAGCTATAAACGAGACTAGCCATAGGATACGTTTTGCCAGGCTTCCCTACATCGTAGTTCGATTTTTCGTTTGCTGATATTTTAGGCCAGAATTTATTTCCTTTTTCTGAACGAAAGATGGCACAGAAAACTTACATTGGTAAACGTATTTTACTTCCGGGCCTCCTGTGTGCAAAGCTTATCACTGTGACCTTTAAAAAGACGTTCGTCCAATCTGTGTCCAAATCCAAAATAACTTCTCTAGGTATAAGAAGACTAAACCACCTGTAATAAAGGTAGCTCGGTATCATATCGCAGAACGCGGGGCGCCATTAATCAAAATACTACCTGACACAAATGTATAATTATCATGCAGTAATAATCACCACATAAATATATATATATATATAGATAGATAGATTTTATTTTTATCAGTTACTCAGCGTTACTGGTTCGTATAATAAGCAAGATAATTTTTGAAGCCATACAAGCAATGTCTGTTTAATTGGTTAGCTGAGAAAATGTGTTACTGTCTTTACTTTTGTCTATAATTTTTTATCATTTAAATGACACCGTTGAGCCTAATACCGCTAGCCCGTTTCAGTCGCGTTCGCACGGAAACATGAAATGGTCTTAGCAGGCTATAATATACTGGCTGCATATAAAATAATGGCTGGACATTGGAGGCGAATATCACTTCATAATGGAGGGCGGCCATTATAATCGCTACATAACTATAAAATACCTAAGAGTTTAAATTTAAGGAGCACTTCATATATCTTACACGGAACGAAAATTTTGTACCGAGTCTATGGATCGAAAACAATCTAAATCGATAGAATACCCGTTAATTGTAACAATAATTGACCAATCGGTTATTTTGTTTATTTAGTCGTGTTTGTCAGGCACATTCTGTATACTTATGAGGGCTACGGTCGGCAGCGGCTACATAGCAATGCGGGGCTCAGTATTCTTGAATCCACTGTATTCTTCCCCATGAACTGCGTAGAACGCGGAGCTATTTACGAAGATACTGACTTTTCATATACTACGAAGATGAAAACCATAATAGTTAATCCGTTCGCAGCCGAGTTGTATGATAAATTTACATGTATTCGTATGCAACTGAAAATATCTCCTATCTGATACAGGCGAATGTTCAAACGTTATGTATTATTAAGTACCTTAAACGAGTGAATACATGATGTGTATACGCTACATTAGACGCCGGCCCTTTCGGACATATCAAAAATATTGACGTTGGAGCGTACCCGTACGCATAACATAGCTAATCTACTTCATTGTCGTTAGACTGACGCTCCTCCACCACCGGCAGTTATCGTCGCCTTTATTACGCTAAGAGATTCTCGACAAAATTATATCAAATCCGATAGGAGTTAATAGATTGTGGCGCACTTGGTTTCTGAGCACGTGTCTGTTATACGCGTGCCGTCGAATAATAAAGTATTTGATTTGCATCGCCCGCCTCGTGCCGATGTCACCGACCGATACGCCACTTACCATTCAGTCCATCGATGAATGCACTAACCAACCATATGTTTACATGCCGCTTAAATTTGATTACTTCGAAAATTGTGTTTACATATAAGCAGACAAATTATCTACCCAGTAAGTTCAAAATCAGATCACAGACAAGGAAGAGATGGTATAATGCAACGTCCCTGCCGCACATACGCGATGGTGGGTGCAATTTATCCATACGACACGGGTCGTTGCAATCAGCTTACTTCATTTAGGCTACTTTAACTGTACGTCTGAAGAATCGAGTGGACGGATATTTTCGCATCCTCTATACACAAACGCCTATTGCCCTCGTATCAAAAACTTAATAATTCATTTACCTAAGATAAAATTACATTTACTTGACAGATTGTTCAGTATTCTCGACATTTCGAGGGGGAGAAAAGCTTAGCGGGTAAACATAACCTGGGGGCACGTGCTTGCATATTTGACGGTCCTGACAGGAAGAATATGTTGTAGACATGCATTACGCTTTTGCTTTAGCATTAGGAAAGCCTATCAGTGGAGTATTTTTCTACAAGGTGGATGATGGCAACGTAATTAAAGTAGTTATGGCAGTGTTAAAAAAGAGCGAACGGGACGAAGTTATTGATTATCACTAAATGCTGCCACACTTGGCTGAATCCATTCCGTGCGCGCCCGTCTATCTCTGCGGTAGCATTTGTAGTGGGCACATCAATAATGGTGTTGATGGTCTAAAACTCTACGACATCGTCGCGATAAGGTTGCACCGTACTCTCTTGTTGCCGACCTCTAACGAGGCGAAGGAAGGTTTTCCGCCAGGCAATTTCTAGCATGTCTCGACTAAATACTATACTGTAGTCAGTCAACAGCTGTTGCTTCGAGCGAACTGGCTCGAGGAAATCTTTCGCTTTAACTTAATTTGCTATCCTGGCTGTCGCTTGAGCGTAGCATGGGACCTAGGTGAACCTTCAGTGTGCTTCTGCCTAACTTTCTATCCTGTGTTATTGACGAGTGTACGCAGTCCGCCAGGTGTATCTCACCGTACACAGTTCAACCAACGAGATTAGTTATTATCATGGCTTTGTATAGCTCTAGATGATCAAGCTCAAAATGGCCACTTATTGTATAATACGACACTGGTAAAGACCCCCGTGCATCTCATTACATTACATACGCAGCGACACACACAGGCTCGAAAATAGCCGTCATCAAAGGCGGTCGAGATTAATCTACCCTATCACAAACGGTCTATACCCAGATAACGAAACCACATGGGCGGCTATCGCTTGGATGATTACATATTTGCCTGCTTTTCCTCCTCAATGAGTCCAAAGTCGGCCGAGCTGACGCGCCCGTTATCTCAACTAGCTAGCTAATGCTACCACTGAACTTGCACGGACCCTAATACTATACTTATTCTGTCGTCATCTTCAAGGACTGCGCATGTTGATCGTCGCCGTCTACGGCCTGTTAGCTAAAAGGTTCGACCGCGTGTTACATTATATTGTCGAAGAACGGAGGGCGAACAATACAGTTGAACGCAGGCCACGACGCCAACTTGGGGCTGATCGATTAAACAATAAACTGCCAGAAATTCGAACGGGATACAGAAAAACGATACGCACTACGATTACGTCTTCCGAATCGGTGTTAATATTTATTCTTTCGCTATCTACCTCTTTAACTAAGTTGCCCTTCCAGTCCAGTGCTCTGAGGTCGACTTCCAATTGAGGCATAATAATATTAGTGATAACTTTCTAAACTATTGTCGTTGATGAATTTGAGAATATTTATTAATACTTTATATATTACCGTATATAACACACGAACTTGCTCTAGACAATGCAGTTCGGACACGGTTACTTAACAAAAGAAATCTCGTCTTCCTTCGTTGCACGTCTTCTGGCAGAGATTCATTCTAAGAAATGCCAGCATTGCGCCTTGTCTAAGTACCTGATACCGGCAAGGCATGATAGAACAAAGATGATAGCATAATCCAGCACAAATCCCGTAAACTCTCCCCGCAAACAGCAAACTTCCCAGGTCGACAGGTCGCGCTTGGTTATATGCCTAACCAATTCCACAGTCACGATGTCGCCTATCCCTTTTAGATAAACGCAACGGACCAGATATGATCGTTTTGGATAATATGCAGTTTGTATGCACATCAAGAGTTGGCGTAAACTATTCAATATATTTATTATACTATTTCTTAATAAATAATACAGAATCGACTGAATAAAAAAGGATTTGCGCAAAGTCAGTTTATCAAAAATTCGCTGCGTATTAGACTGTCCCATATTGTATTATCTCGCTTATCAAGTCGCCGTTTCGGCCGAAATTACCATAAGCTATAATCACACTTAGACTCTCATTAAAATGCATACTTTTTATCTTCAGTTGTCTAGTATTGCCAGGGCTGCGACTTCACTCACTCTCTGTATTTGCCTGCTTTCGGAACCTCGTCGGCCACCACTCGAGCTCTGTTATGCCCGCCTAGGAGTTGGCACGCTAGTAACTGATCGTAGTATCTGTTGCACTCGACTAAATACGCTCATGGCGCGATCACGTTCGGCCACGGGCGATCTGCCGCCTTTGTTTGTTTGCCTGTTAATTAGTTAGTTACTTTTTTACTTCGTTAACGGTGCCGCTGCTTCTCGAAGTAGGGTTACAGCTGAGTGATTGGGGACACATATATGCCTTGTGTCCCGTGGGCTAAACAACAGACGATTTTTAGCCGCTGTGAATAATGGTCTCGAAAGAAAGAAGCTATTGTTTGTCGGCCCGTCTGTCAGCAAGTGACGCCGGCTTATTGAGTCTTTGTATTGCCGTTGTAATGTCAACTGCCACAATTACTCGTTCAAAATAACGATTCGGACGTCAAGATCAATTTCGTTTTATTCTGTCACTAAAACGAATTCGTCTATGACTAGCATCAGTATGGCGGGCGATCCGCTCGTTCGAGAGACCCGTGTATCTACGTGAGTGTGGATGTACCGCTGTCTGACAATGTTCAAAATTCTTGGCTACTGCCAAACTCTAACAGCTAAAACTAGCGGCCAACGTCAGCAAGCGTAAAATGACCATGAGCGAACCATTGCACATCACGATAGGTGCTGTGCAAAGAGACGCGGTCTTCGCGTTCAACCTAACGGTCCACCTCTCTAGCAGCAGCAGCAACCAGTACGAAACAGTGACTGTCGTTGCTGGTAACGTTGACGGCGGTTCGCGTCGCCTGCTGATTACGGTCGACCTCTGTTTCCAGTGTACGAAAACGCAAAACAGCGTTGTCGCCGCTGCCATTACCACGCTGCTAGCCTGTGCGATCGTCCATCGTCCAACAAACGACTCCAAAGCAGTGGCAATAGCAGTAGATTAGACGGTGAAGAGAGCTGCAGGCTGCGAAGCCTAGTTACCATAACTACGACCACCAGCATTGCCCGCCGATGAGGACGTATACCTATGCTGTATCCACAGACCAAGTCTGGGTTCCAGCACCTGAAATATAGGTAACAGAGTTGGTCATTGCATATAAGCGGCGTCATTCTTATCATTACTGTCGCAAGCTAGGAATGCGTGAACTGCAGCAAGGGATTTCTTGCATGTATTATTTGCGGTTTATTTTTATAGATGCTAGACCATCGTTTCGGCTCTAGGGGAGAGCGTTTGTCGCAAGAATAGCCATTCGCTAGCATTATAAGAATTATGCAGAGATATAGAATGGCCAGTGATATCCGCATGAGCGTATGTATAGCGCACACGAATGCTTTTACGAAAAT